TATTGTAGAAAAGTATTCTGTTATTTTCGATTTTAAGCACTAGTTTGCTTTTTTGGTATAAGATGTAACTGTAGAAACGTAATATGTCTGTGTCATCCTATTAAAATAAAAAAAAAATGAGAAAGTTTGTAACGATGAATGGGTGTTTATTACTCTTTCAGCCAAAAATTACTGAACGGATTTGAATTAAATTTGGTAATTCACGAATACAGCTCGTTATTAATAAGAGCTTAATAGGAAATTTAGGCATGTATTTATTTACTATTTATATACTCTGTAATTTACATCGAATCTACTTTTTCATAATTTTTTATATCTATATTGTCAAAATATTTTGAATTATGTTTGGAATTGAACTTTCAAAACATCAATATTGCATCGTTGTAAATTTATACACTGGTTAAAATATACCTTTTATATAGGTTCAGATCAAAATTAAACAATGATTTTTGCATGGATGATGTAAGAGAGGTTGTTGATTTAATTTATGAAATGAAGCTTATTCCAGTGAGGGCGGGCATCAGCTATTGTTTGGGTCTTTTGTTTGTTGGCATGCTGGATCCGTTAATAGCGTTCTAGCATTAAAATTCGGGTCAGGTTGTTGACACAAATTTATGAGAGGTTCGGAAAAGGGCAACCTTGATTTTGTTGGGTTTAAAGATAAAAGAGAAATTATATTCAAGTGATAATTAAATTTATAAATTGTAGATGTATTTTTCAGACCATAATGTCACAAACATGTAATATTGTTGAAGATTAGAATTAAAGTATTTCTTGTAAAAGCATTGACATTTGCTAACAATGAAATTAAGGAGTATTAAGAGAGTATCTCGGGGTATATTAAAACCATCTGAAATAATCGTGACATTCGCAGTATTTTATATAGAGCACGTGTAGGGCTCACGTAATTTTCTGTGTGCGTTACGATAGTAGCGAGGCATGTGACATGTTACCTTCCGCATATAAATGTACGAACTCTACCATTTGTAAAATGTAAAGTTCTGATGTAGATAGTTCGTTTATTTTATAGTAGCGGTAATTTTCTATCCCTGAGAACTTGCAATTCAATTACATACCCTATATTAGCATAAGAAAGTAACGGTAGGAGCTGGCATTAGGTATAATTATTGTATCAGACAATTTATTGTAGAAAAAATCTTATTACAGCTCAAAACTATTCTTTTAATGTTGAAGTTTATTAACATATAAGAAATATCTCCTCCAGATCTAGCAATGGGATGTGAAGGGCTTGTTAAGGTAAGATAATACAATAAAATTTATCCTGTATACAAATACATATTAAATGCATCGAGAAAGGTAGGACATAGCAAGACTTCTTGTTTGAAAATTGGAATTGTAGTGAGTAATCACCTTCCCTCACTAGTCTCATTTATCAGAACTTCTAAGGCAGAAGGATTTCAAGTTAGTGACGCGTTCATAATACCAATGGTACTGCAAGCCTTCACAAGATACAATATCTGGGCCATAGTTTTCTAAAATAGGCTAACTCTTTTACGCAATTTTTGCATAAAATTTGAAATTTCAGTGTAAGTAGTGAATTATTTTGTCAGATAGTTAATTTCTTCTTTACTTAATAGTCAATTAAAAAAAAAATGTTAAAACCACACTGTTCTATACGGTTGGTCATGGCATGATGTGATGAGTTAACGGGTATAGCTTTTTATTTACGTGGAAATATAATGGGCAAATTGATTTCGTTTTGTCTATGGTGGAAGCATAACACTGTCGGAAAATTAAATTGTTCTCCGTCGCATATGTCGGAGTCTCTGCAGCTATCTATATAAAAACAACAAACGCGTCTGTAGATTCTAATATTCGAGACATATACTGATAATTATGTAGCGATCCAGTAAGAATCTTAGCGACAGACAGGGTCTCATCTCATTTGAATAGTCGAATACGAGCGAAGATTAAATTAGGGGCGAATTCGTACAATTACATTATATATTGTATATATGTATTGTAACATTTATTTAAATGTAAAAAAGAAAGCCGTAGTATTTGTTTATTAGTATTTTTCTTTCCGTAGTATTAATATTTTTCTATGTACCTATAAAGATTCTCTTAACACTACTAGTTTTTTTTAATTAGTAAATAATAACTATTGGCTATTATAAAATAATAAGTAAATAACTTTCAATGTAACTAACATAAAACCAAAATAAGTTAATAATTAAACCTAAACAAGAAAATGTCAGAAACATCAGTGTTTTTGGGATGATATAAGAAGTCTAACGATACTCCATAGATTTATGTCTCTTCTAAAATTTACGTATTTACATATATGAACCCTAAAAACGTTACACATCTTTTTTGGGTAGTATTGTAAAAAATGTCCAATGGAAAAAAAATCTATTTACGAAATTTTATGAAGTTTTATTATAAATGTCTGTAATATTAAGAAGTTTAGTAGTAATTTAATGTACTCGTAAGTAGGAACAAAGTAGTCTGTTCCGGAGTGTATTGGCGGAATTGGTGGCGCACCTCTACGCACAATAGAGATATCGGAAAGATTTATAGATCACGCGAGCCTTGATTAAAAACGCTATAAATGGTACGTGGGCGGATTTAATTTCGATGATTTCCATACGTATGTGTGTAGCTGGAAACCGACTAGCGAAATTGCTTTCTAGGTCTCAAACCGTTAAATGTTAAATTGAATTGCACGAACTATCCTCCACAGGATTTCAGTTATTTACGAATTGAATTGGCATTCGTAAGTCTTTTATTAATATCGTATCTATTACTAAATATAATAACGTCTACAGATGATCGTTACCACTTTTCATCAAGAGTGTTTCAGCTTCTTTATCATTCCAACGAAAATTAAATACTATATTCTATGTTCCATTAAAAAGAAATATCGTAGCAACAATAACATAAAAAAGAGGTAAAGTTTATTTCTTTGTATAGAAAGTCAATCTGGAAATATTGATGTTAATTTTTTTTTATGGGTGAAAATGGTATGGTAACCCCGCCTGCGCTAACGGTATACGCTGGCGGAGCACCAGTGAAAGGTGATAGATGAGAATGAAAACAGACCAGTTAGCTCATCATGATGAATTCATCAGGAATTAACCATGATAGTTTCCAGGGAGAACTGCGAGGAGGTCGACCTGGTTGGGTATATTGCTAGCAATGGGATTCTCAGTCTCCATTACTAACAATCCCTTTCCCCCCTGATGTTAAATATTATTCTCCTATGGAAAGCTATATTGTCTTTAATTAAGGCAAAGCGTATGCTGAGAACGCAGATGTGACAGTTGTGCAGATTTGATCTCGTAATAAGCAAGTCTTAGATTTAATCAATGTCAATAATCTTAGAAACAAATATAGTTGTGTATGCAGTTATTGTCCAGTAGGTCGTTGTATTGCAGTAATGACACAGATTACTGTGCGACGCATTGAGAATGATTTTGTATTGCTTTGGAACCCATATTTTATTCATTTTAGAATACAATTTAATTTAAAATTGTATTTTAAAATTAAAATATAACTTACCTATTTTCAAATTTAAAATACAAAATTTAAAATAGGTAAGTTATACTTTCAATGAAAATTCTTACGGATATAAGATGAAATAGTTTTATACTGTCAAAGTTGTGGGTGACAGTAAGCAGCGATAAAATAATTACAAAAGTAAAGTTTGTACAAATAAGCCATTATTATAAAAGATACTTCTATAAGCAATGTTAATTTTTAATACCTGTAACTTTGGATAGCAAATATATTGACGGTCTCTAATAATATTTCATGAATAGCACTAGATACTGAATTTAAAAAAAAAATTACATGACTTTGTACAAAAGTTGCAGTTAAAGCAGTTGTGTTTGCATGGCTGTGTTTCAGTTTGAAGGGTGGGATATGGCGTGAATTTACAAGGTACAGAATAATAACACCTGAGTCCTCAAGAATGGCAACGCATGGGGGGTATCATGGACGAAACAGTATACTCTGTTATGTCCATGGTACTGCTCATGTCTATAGGCGACGGTTACCACTTTCCATCAGGTGAGCCGTCAGCTTATTTGCCATTCTAATTTGTATAAAAAAAATACAATAAAATACCCATGGTAGCCTTTGCACGTAGCCATTCTTAAGGACTAAGCTATTATACCTCCATACCCCTCACTCTTTGAAACACAGCCAATTTATTTGATTCCGAATATAAATGAAAGCTTTATGACATTTTAATTAAGCTTTATTACCACTATTAGTACAAATAGTTAAACGAGAACTAACAAAAAATGCTCCAATTTCTATGTAAATTTATGATCATTTACATTTGAAATTAATAAGGCGAAGCTATCAAACTTTAAGTACCTTAAAATATATGTAAATGAATCATTAAATATATGTAGGTGGTACTGTGAATTTAAATGGGTAAAAATAAATTATCAGGATTCAGGAGTAGATAATCTTTTGTCAACGAGAGATAAGTTTGGGAACTCGTTAATTAATTTTTCAGTTATTTATTCATTCAACGGAAGCCTTAACAGCTAGGCTTCCTTGTTAAAAGTGTTGGCAATTCAATTAATATTCAGTAAAATTTTTATTCACAATAGAAACTTACCATTTATATTAATTACATTAGTTAATTTATCGATAGACACGTTTTCACCGCACCTGTAATTTTTCATGAGAATGGTAGTGAAAATGCTAGAATTGTCTGCTATTTATCTATAAGGATAACGTTTTATATTTTAACAAATGGTTTCTTGTTATAGGATTACTGAGATAATTAGTAAAAACGAACATTATATGCTTTTCGTGTAGTTTTTGGACACGAAAGTACTCGTATTGTAATAGATCGGATATCTACTTACACGTGACGTAGTATGTTGTGTGTTAGTACAATATTAAAATACAAGACAGATAGAAAACAAGTTACCTTCGCATTTCCTTCTGCAATTTTTGTTATTAATTATTACCGATACTATCATTACTCTTAGAAAAGCAATTGAAAGCTTCAAAAGTACCTGCAGCTCGTGCTTCCTTGCATGCGAGGACCATGCTGTGTCGCACGTCGGGGTTATCGTCTGCTATGGTTTCGCCAACGGCCACGAATCGTTCCACGGCACAGCACACAGCTGCACCTACGCGCTGCACTGCCGCGCCACCCGCCGCTACCTCGCCTCGTGTCGCCACCAGGCTACTGATCTGATGAATGATAAACGAATGTATAATAACCTATTATCTCACGTCCTAGTGGGAATTTCAGAAGATTTTTCCTTAATGTTCACTTACGTACGTTATATAGGGAAGCTTTATCTAATTTTTTTATTAATTTTTTTATTTACGATATTATCATTCATTTTGGTATTTTGGTGGACTATATGAAATAGTACATAAGTAAAACTTTTATCTCAGTTGTGATAACAGCTGATCATTACTAAGAGATGGAATAATATATCCATCTATCCTAATGGTGTACATTTGTAAGGCTCCTGTAGAGAATGAAATAATGGGAACTAATTTAGGTCAGTGGGTCCATAGTAGTAAATTCATAGAATTTAACCATGACAGTTTCCAACAGGATTGAGTGGAAACCATCCTGAATTGTTATATATATTTCTAGTAATGACCCCTAACAACTCCATTACTAATAATTCATTTCTTTCATCACATTTTTTCAACATGTTTTCGCTTTTTTATTCTTAAAAGTTTCACAAGTGCACCTTATATTTTAATGTAATAACTACCGGTTTAACTTACGTGTAATTAGATCGAGAAAATTTGACTGGTTTCGGGACTAATTCGGGACCTTTAATCATGAGCGGTTGTGACGTTATTACATTAAAATATAGTTTCGCTTTTTTTTATTTATTATGATGAAGGACTTACGATAAATATTTAATTACGATCAGTCTGGATATTAGAGATATATAGAAACCTTATTCAATTAGTAAAAAATGTAGTTCCTAACAACCAAGGATTTTAAGAAATATTGAAAGTTGTGAGGATATCGAATAACACAATATTTACTTCGAATTCGAATGCAAAAAAATTTCGGTGCAGCATAATGAATTAATGGTTCTAAGTAATCTTTCTCCTTTAACTCCAACATAAAATAGGTACCATGATACGAGGATGGATTAAAAAGTTCGCGACCTCAGCAAGAAAACAATATTAATTTTAAACAATAGTAAACAATAGTAATTTTATTTTTCCACGCAATCTCCACTTAACTCGATGCACTTCTTCCATCTGGTTTCCAACGCCATAAACGCTAGTCATAAAAAAAGTTTATTTAAGGCCTTCAAAAAAGTCTTTTTTGGAGTTAGATTGTGTGCAGGTATTTGATGACTGCACGTTGCTCAATTTTCTCCATTCTTTAAAAACGCTGCACTTAGGCTTACAAAAAATTAGTCTAATTTAAAAACAGATAATGCTATTGCGATAGAATTTTACAATGTGGCAACCAGAGAGTAAGCAAATCGAATGAGGTCAGTTACATTAAAATAGTTCAAGTATTTATGTGTTAGGCCGCGAATATTTCGTTCTATCTTCGTATCTGTTATTATGGTAATATTCATCTCATTTATTGGGAGAGACCGTATCCAGCCTAATAATAGGACGATAACGTGTTTTTATGATGACTGTGATAATGTTGGACTCGTATTCAATTTCTCTCTTATTTGTTTAGCAATGTAAATCCCTATGGAGTAAGATATATCTTCATATATTCGTATATTATAGCTTTTGATCAATATACACATGTTTTAATAAAGTATCTTACCTCTTATGAACGATTCATGATTTAAATGAAATGGAACTGCTCATAATTTTCGTATTGGATTTTATGTCACTTTATATTAAAAATCTGTATTTATATCGTATGATAATTTGTTTCTATTGGTATGTTAAAACAGGAACGAAAACCGTTATTCGTTCTGTGCGGTCGTCATTCGTTTTGAAATTTCGTAGAAAATTTTATAGAATAGTGCCGCCTTTTATTATTTAGTATTTACTACAATTTATTTTCAATATGCTTACAACTATAATCCCTAATACAATAGTCAGAGGTGTTAGTTTACTATCATGAGTACAGTTATGACAAATATAATATTCGATATGTTAATGTCACATTTCGCCAAGTACTTTAAAATTCAATATGGTCAAGTGTAAGTCTAACATTGTCTTTCGTATTAGTTTGGTTTATTATTCGATTTTTTCTTTTACTGAAGATTTAGTAAAAAAAATAATTTCACATATAGTTTTTATTCCCTTCAATTTTATTACTTGCGAGCTTTGAAATTGAGTAAAATATTCCAGGAATCTTTTAGATTTTTTTTCAATTTCTTAAATAATCTACATAAACTACGATATGCACTTTTTTCTTTCAATTGATTGTTTTAATAATCTACGTGGATATATTTACGATAATATCTTATTAATTTTGTTGTTATTATAATTATTGTTTTGAAAATTATCTATATAGGTAGGTATATATAGTATTATTTATGTATCTGTTGATGCATGAAAACATAATTATGTATTATCGAAGATGAATTATTTAGGAAAAATGCATCACTAGCTGAAATTGCTGAAATCATTTGTAACGTTTGATACGTGTAGTATTTCAAAATAATTATTTAACTTTTAATGAATGTCGCTTTTATTTTTAATAAATATGATATAGAAATATTTAGAATTAATATTTTAAAATGTGATAAAAATCCCGTCTGAGATTTTTCGATACGATTTAAAAGAAATAACTTGTGGTTCGTTGAAAACTGCGGCGGCAGCGGCAACGTCTGGGAAACGAGCGAGAACGCGGGCTGCGAGCTCCGATCAAGGTCGCTCCTGCACGCGATCTTCTTCGCCACCCCTGACTACTTGTTGCGCTCCACTTATCTTTTTTCTAACATCATCGGGCGTTACAGCATGATCGCGCATCTCTGGTGGGGTTGTCAGAATTTCCAGGCACGGATCGCGTTTCACAACCTACCTGGGTCTCCCGGCGCGCGTATTCGTCGTCATCGGAGAGCGCGTCCATGTCGCAAGAGGGGCGCGTGGCGCGCGGGCGGTGGGCGCGCGCTCGGCGGCGCGCTGTCCGCGGGCGCGCACACGTGCTCCGTGGCGCTGGCGTGTCGCTGCGGCACCGCGCCGCTCCGCCCGCGTCCGCCGCGGCACTGACGGGCCCGGCGCGCATCGATCGAGCCTTCCGCCCGCCCCGCGACTATTCACCCGCTCTCAGTCCACGTGGCCGCCCGCCCTCGTATTTACAAATGACTAAACTAACTTTTACGTAGATTGTTAAATAAATATATCGATAGATTATATTGTCATCGCGTTTGCTGAGACCCTAAAAACTTTTACGAGTATTCGAGCAAATATACATAAAAATAATCGACGTAAACCGATTCAAATTATTTCAGTGCATTGAAAAGAACCGCCACTCGATATTTTGCTACTGCGTCGGCGTATAGAAAAGCGCAACAGATAGTCGACGCAGGCGGGAAGTTATGAACGCAAACGTCAGCATTCGATGTGACGATTTCGAGAAGCGACGTGACGGCGTTACTGCAGATATAAAAATAAGAGTGAATTTTTAGACAAGACGCGTAAAATTCAATGTTATTATTGGACTTCCCGAGCGACGTCAGAAAATCGTCGACTCAATCACGTAAGCGTAGTACGTCACAAGCGCCGGTCCACATCGTAGATCATGAAAGTAAAGCGTCTGCGAGAGCGGAGGGTGGCATGCATTTTTGGCGTACCTGCTTAATGAGGGGGAGCAGGGTTCTCTCGACGGAGCGCGTTTTTATCTGTGAAAGGTCGAAATCAGGAAGGCCGCCGGCCGCCATGGTTGGCGCGGGCGCGGGCGCGACTGCGCGTGTGCGCGCGCATGCGGCGACCGCCGCCATTGGCGGCCGCGGTCACGTGGCACTACCCCCCGCTCGCCGGCCGCCGTCTTTACCTACCGCCCGCCCAACTATATCCGTGCGTAAACACACGTTTCTAAACTAACCATTAATGATGTTGGAGTTTTTTATTTTGTTACGATTGTAACTTTTAATTATTTAGTTGTAGGTATTAAATATTTATTTAATTTATTACCAAAAACAGCTGAGACGAATTTGAAGTGACGTTTTTCACACAAATGTTTTAATTACTCAGAATATGTACTTTGTCTTTTGGATATTTTGTTTATCAAGGGTAGAAAGCAAACTGATAATAAGATTTATTTTTCTCCTAATGATACGATAATAGTGCTATATCTAAAATGAAATAATTCTCATTTTGAGTTACATATTATACATTATTTTAAGAGTACTATAAATACCGTCTCATAAGAAATGCAAAAACTTGACTACAAGAAAAAGGATCGTGGTGATCTATTAATGTCTTCTACAGGCAAACTATATATATTCAGTTTTGGCATTGTTCAGTGTTATTTGTAGTCTTGGCAATACAGTTTATCAAAATCTTTGTTTGTTATATTCACCAAGACTGCTCATGTCTATAGGCGACGGTTACCACTTTCCATCAGGTGGGCCGTCAGCTTGTTTGCTATTCTAAGTTAATTTTTATAAAAAAAACTAACGTTTCGGTTGCCAATTGCTAAAAAGATATAATATAATAAAATATTAACTTTATAAAATGAAACGCCAAAGTCAGGGTTATGTTAATTTAAAAATAGTGGAAAAAGCAATTTCCAAAAAGGTATAATATTTATTTGGTTAATAACAATTAAACAATTGATTACTATTGCACAAATTTAATTTATTTTCTACGATTAAAATAGACAGCTAATACCTTATCAATAATCATTGGCACAATATCACAACAGTTGTCAATGATCCAAATTTTCAAATTGATGGCAATAACAATAATAAATCAGTTATAAACAAGAAACATATATCTGCAAGATCTAATGATAGGTCTTAAACCAAACATCATATTAATTTTATACAATATCTATGTTTTTAGTAATACTGGAGTACTATGGAATCTATTGATTCTTAGGCACATACACTTTAATTAATACCACCATATAATTTTTCTTGAAAAATTCATACAATTGTTACTATATGCTTTGGTGATTGCATTAAATTTAATGTACTATATCATACTTATTACAAACTCAGTTTTATTTTTAAATTAAGGTGGTTCAATTAGAAAGTTTATAACTGTATAATAAACTATCTATATAATTGTATATTACATAATATATTTTTAAAATACCTATTGAATAGTCTACAAATTTCAGTTCTCGATTTTTAATAAGCACTTATGGTTGTTATCCTATCTGCTATTTGTAACTTCAAACCAGATTCTAACAATCTCTTTATATTTCAAAAACACATCTGGAATGGAAGTACTATCAAGTATACAATAAGTACTGTGAAGTGAGTGGATTAGAATGAAATTTCAAACTACGAGATGACAAGATAGCTAGTAGGCCACCTGATGGGAAAACGTCTGCTGTAGACATATATAGCACAAAATATTCTGTGACATCTATAATAACCCTCAATTTGTTGTCACTTCTGAGGACTAGGATGTTATAAATATTTTAACAATAAGGTTGTCTATCTCTTTGCCTTATATAATTGTTTTACCTCAAGAATTAGAGAGATCAATATTAAATATATATACTTGTAAATATCTTATCACATATTCTTTTTTTTTTTTCACGTAGATAACTAATTATAATAAACACCCATACTGATTTGCGGGCGCCGTTTATTATATAAAGCTTGTTTCGAACTAACGCTGTCTTGAGAACTGTCCGAGAGCCACGGACTTTGTCCTGGTGAATTGCGGACTTTGCGTTTGCGAAGACTCTCAGTCGGTCCTAGCGTAGGCCTTAAAAGTTGTTTGAAACGGAAAGGTCCCTCTGTGTAGTCATCGTCGGAACTGAAGACTGGCGTTGCAAGAATTTCGGGCGAGTTTCGTAGGATCTTCCGTAGGTCGGACTCAGGGTCATATGTTGGATTGTATACTGGTCGTGGAGCCGGTTGCGCCTTATTGGAGTTTTTTACTAGTTCGTTGATCTTGTTGCTGTAATATAAACTGATATTAGTTTACGTGTCTAAAATTATAAATGTCAAGTGTGCTCTTTTCGTTGCTCCTTTGTTACATTTTACCGCTTTAATTACTTAGTTAATGGCCTTGAAATTTGTTTTACATACTGTATTTGAGGTAGAGAAGGAACTAGACTAAGTTTTAATCAATATGAATTCAAATAATTAAAATGTGTTTTTTTTTTTCACCTTAAATTAAATTAACACAGAAGGTGGAAACCTCATATTAAGTATAAACAATATTGTATTACGAAGTGCCGCCCTATATAAAAGGAGATGTGTACTACCAACTCAAAATTGAAAGCAGTGGGTTTTGTAACCCGCAATTATGCACAAGAGTTCTTTAAGGAAAGGTTTTTAGTAGTGGCTTTAGGAATTGGAAATAACAATTGCAAAAAAAGAGGAATAGAGTTTTGAAATAATAACTAATAACGAGAAATTAATAAGTAAATTTAAAAAAAAAACGTACATAATTTAATTAGCAAACGACTGATACAAGAATGTAGTAAAAGTGATAGATTTACTTATTTCTAGGGCAAATGTGATTAGTAGTTTTTACTCAAACAAAAACATAAGATTATAAATATCAAGAATACATGCAGTATAATAAGTATAAGTATTAAAGAAAAAGATTTCGACAAAAGTAGCGCTTTTACTGTTTCTAGCATATGACGGCCAAATAATAATCTACCGCTAATAAAATTAAACTTTCAATGCAAAAATCAATTCATACCATTTGTTTCTGTTTTCCAAAGGTAAAGCACGAATAAAATTTCAATAGTATTAGTATTATCTACTGCCAGAAGCGCGTTAGATTATTTTCCACTTCGTACCTGACTAGACCACTACACTGTCTGCTGCATGGAAGGTTCTTCCAGTTTTGGTTGTTCTGTAAATGCCTGTGTTCACAATGTTCTTTGTTGTTTTGTTGGTATCTGGAGAGAAGTAATTTTAAAATGCTTTAAAATCAAAAGATTTTCTCGATGATTTCATACATTCCTAAATCAAGAATTGACTTATTATAAAATACGTACTATAAATGCTTTACAATAATCCAACCAAAATAGATATTAAAATAAAATCATAATTTTAAAAGATAAATAAAATTTAAGAAGATTATTATAAATGTATTATGATTGATTAGGTACTACTGTACATGTTTTATCGTAATACGCTATTTAGAAGTGATGATTAGTTTCTCTGCTTTCGATATTCAATCTTACGAATTAGCGGACAAAAAGTAAAAATAATCACGTAAAATTGACAGTTTCGTAACATATTCAACATTTAATAACGGCACAAAAACGACACAGCTTGAACAAGCAACGAACCTGTTCCGCCCGACATCATACTCTTTCCTACCCAGCAGTGGTTCATCCCACGGCCTTGCGGGGCTCTCGAGGAATTCTGGCGATGGACTGGTTCCCCAAGTCCAATAGAGATGCATGAGTTAATATAAATTATGTAAATATTTATTTTATAAAACATTATTGTGTGCGAATTTGTTGAAGATTGAATAGATAGTTTATGACATCGCAAGATCTAGGTTAATCAACGAAATCTTTGGTTAATCATAGTTACTTAACAATTTATAGTTACATTTAATTTTTAGAATTTAGAATGGCAAAATAGTTTGGAATAGTTGAAAAACTATTTAATGGAAAGTGGTAACCGTCATCGATATATATAAATGGCACAAGGGACATTATAAATTACATGGTGATACTCGTTCTAAATCCCCTCATGTTTGTCATTCCTGACGACTATAAACTAAACTACTATAATGTTATGCCTTCATACCCTGTAACTTGACTACCATATTCACTCCAAATCGAAACGCAGCCATGCGATCACAACTGCTTCACGGTAGAAATGAGTAAGATAGAAGTACCTAAGTATCTAGTATAGCGTTGCCATCCTTTGGATAAAGCCGAACAGTGATAGGATTTATGACCTCTTGTCCGGCCAAATTTGACTGAATCCGCCCGTCCGGTTTTTATTGCTGCTGGTATTCCGCCAGCGTATACTGATAGCGCAAGCGGGATTACCGTTCACCTATTAAAGAAACCTCATCTTACGTACTTTTTTAACGTCTGTCTTTAACTCAAAAGGCTTTTAAATATGTATTTTATTTGATAATTTTGTCCTTTTTATTATAAACGTCCGACTTTAGAACCCAAATATCTGGCCTTTTTAACGAATAAATTTGGTGTTTTGATTTTTACAGACGATATCGCTATTCAAGTACAGTCGTTAACGTATTTCTTTTTAATTTACCTAGAAAGGCGACTAGCATCCCGTTCCACCTGCGACGGCTGTCCGCGAATAATGGCTGGCACTAGGGTGAATCCTGGTGGCTGTCGGTACTCTTCTGGAGGCCGCTGGACATCTTGCAAACGAATGCCTGGTTTGTTTCTTCGTAGATTTTTATGCAGCTCTTGGTTTTTATTGTGAACCTGAAAAAAAAATTATAAATGTCAAGTTATAAGTGCATGTAAAATATAAGTATCTCTACTTGTTTCAGCAAATATCTTATTCTTACTTAGTTTAACTTGGCATTGGAGCATTAGATAAATTATTACATTTTTCATATCTAGTTAATGGCATGTTGGTATTGGAAGAAATTTGCTGAAACTTCTACGAGTTTCGTCCCATACTATTCTGTGTTAACAGTATTTTTTATAAAATTATACCAGTTTATGATTTAATATATAGTTTTACAGAATATGTACAGACGTTATTGCTGGAAACAAATCTGCAGAGAGGAGCGAAATAAGGTCAATTTCTGTCGATGGGTTTCGACTTACGGCACATATACTCAAGGATACCTGAGAATCTCAGACTTATACAGCCGTATACAACTATAATTTTGTATACTCAAGTGTAATTCCTTAAGAATAAATGCGTTACCTGTTCAGCGAAGGTATGCAATTGCGCGGCGCGTTCCTGCATGGAGTACTGGTGCATGAGTACCGCGGCGGGCGGCGCGGGCGCGGGTGGCGGCGGCGGCGCGCGGCCCTTGGCCCAGCGGCGGCGTGCCGTGTACCCGCGGAAATCTACATTACAAAGGATTATTATTAACTAGCTGTATCTCGTGCCTTCGTTTATTTCTCTAGGAAGATTGTATAGGTCGTATCGTGAATAACTTCTTCTTCTTCCTAGAGAAATAAGCTAAGCAATATACTAGAAGGAATTTTTCAAATCTGACTAGTAATTTCAGAGATCAGTGCATTTAAACCAACCAACTTTTCCTCTTTATTATATTAGTATAGATTAAAACACACTTTCTTAATAAAAACCTCTCCTGATCTCTCCAGATCTGAGTTCGAATGGCAAACAAGCTGACGACCCACCTGATGGAAAGTGGTAACCGTCGCCTACATACATGAGCCAGTACCATGGACATAACAAAGTATACTATATAGAGGATACTATAAGTATAGTATATATATAGAATATATTTTTTCTGTTGAAGTAAAATTTATAGACTAATTAACTTAATACAATTCCAACATGTTCTGTACCATATTAACCTGTCTATTCGTTCATGTCTTAACTTACTATTTTAGACGTCAAAGATTTTATACCCCGCCAATCATACAACACGCAACTGTTACCATAAATACTCATTTATGACTTTATAAATTGAATACGCTTCAATATGCCAACATGAAATGTCAGGTATACGATCACGCAAGCTCATTCCTTTTAGATGAAAATATCAGATCATTCAATAATAAAACAGATAATATAATAATATTTTAGTTATTAAATGGATATAACAAAATTAGTAGCTATAAAAAATAAAAAAAAATGTTTTTACTTTTTTTTTAACTCGTTTAACATGACTGAGTAAGAAACATAAATTTTTTTACTGAAAACTTTTCACTAAAAACAAGTTTTTTACTGTTATTCGTTTTGGTTAATTCATTTGTTGTTGTATCACTGTAATTAATTGATTTATAATCCTTATCACTATAATTAATTTTATAATGATAAACATATTAATCATAAAACCGACATAATAAAATGCTGTGCGAGTAGCTATAAATAAATACGAACGGCTCTGTATGACGACTGCTGCTCGGTTGGTGTCTACATTCTCTTTATCGCCGAAGACTGTTTCGTTGCTGTCACTGTCATCCGATGTCATACGGAGCAGCACCTTAGCCTTCATCATCGCTTTGTTCTTATTAGGCATACCTGTAATGATAGGTATAAAATTGACGTATCTTCGTTTTACATGATATAACCAACTAAAAAAATTAAAATAATTTTTTATTATAAATTCGCGACTCATGTTCACAATAGTCTCATTTCTATTTTTTTTTTATCTTTGCATGAGTTAGGCATCTTTACAAAAGTTTTGTTTATTACAGGTACATAATGATATATTAAATTATAAAAACAATAAAAGAATATGAACTAAACTGATTATACACTAGCTTGGTTAAGAATTAAAAAGTAGAGAACAGAATTAGATTAGAATCATTTCTATTGAAAAGTCTTTGGAATAAATCTGTATCTGCGAGTTTCTGGTTTCATATACATAGATAACTCATAACTAAGTGTGGGCATGCTGAAAATTGCAAATTACAATTAGTTATGCAGAAATGCTAGAGTTAGTTATGCAAAAATAGCCACATTACCATTACATGTTCATGAGAGATGGCTGTTTTCTGTATAAGTAATAACTCCAATTTACGTTACTTACCGGGTTTCTGTTTTCTTTGACTGTCCTGTTCTCTCTGGAACTCCTTGGCTAGTTGTCGCTGTCGCTCCTGCAGCCGCTTTCTGGTCAGCCAACCGCGGACGTGTCGCTGCAACGTTAGTACAGAAATGGCCATCTGCGCCTTTAACCGCCGGTAGTGGTGGCGGGCAAGCCATCCTCGTACGCATGCTTGCACCAAAATTATTTTTCTTGTCTGCAACATATATAGAGATAGTTTTTATTGTCCCGTTAAAAAAAATTGCGATAACATATTAAACAAAAACAAAAATAAGGTAGAAAGATATCACACTGAAAAATTAATGGACGGCCTTATCACAAGTCTTATCGATGAAAACGATCTTTTCCAAAAGATTTATAAATGAATTAGCAAGCTACCTATTATTTATTACATGAAAATATTACCTGCTCTTCATAAATCCTAGCAAGAACTTCAACGTGATAGTACTTCAGAAAGACTTTAGACTTGCCCAACGCCCATCCATCCATCTTCAACCTCATTAGTAAAAGTCTACATGAATCGCGATCACTTTTTATTTTTTCATCATAACTAAATGCTAGAAAACCATATCTGTAAATTATAATAGATTTAGAGTTATTAAAAAATTTAAAAAAATAATTGATATAATAAATTTAAATTGAACATTACATGGAGAAATATTTGAATACCTTTTCAAGAACTCATCAAAAGTAAGCCGGTGGGAGAATCCATTTTGCCTGATCCTAATTGTTTCTAATACTCCAGTATATCTAAGTTGTTTTAGTATCTTAGTGGGATCGAAATGCCTTGGTGATCGAGAGTCATTTGGCTTGAGACATCGTACGAATTGGGGAGTGCCGCTAACCATCTTCTGGAGTAGCTCCATTAGAGAGAACCTAAAATACGTCGCCACCGTCTGCTGGGCTCGAGACTGCGACGCTAGACCTCGGCTATTGAATCGGTCCTAGAAATAATATGTGAAATTCTAATAAATTTTCTTTAGATACTTTTGGTTAACTTACATTACAAGAGAGGATAAAGTGAATGAAGGAGATAATCATTTCGTTTGGGATAATTTTTTCATCATTTCGTAATCATCTTCAAGCGACTTCATAAAGAAGTAGATTCCAAATTAGGTTGTATTTTATTTATTTTTTATGTTCGTTACCTCATAACTCTGTCAATTGTAAATAGATTTAGAAAATACTTTTTTATATGTATATACTTACAGATTGGTCCTACAGATTTTTTTTTCAAAATCGGTTCAGTAGTTTATTTTTTAAATAAAAATAATTGAGTTGTGCTCCAATTGTAGTCGATTTTTTGTGAAACACAATCTTAATTATTATTAATTACTAACTCTTAGACCGTGGCTCTTAATCCTCTATTTGGGCTTTAATCCATTCAAAGTCTGATTACGTCTTATACATATCAATATAGTAATTCTAAGAAGTTTAGTATTTGTTATATAAAATGTGTATATCTATTTTTTATTAAACTACTAAAACTACTTTATTTACTACTTTTTTTGTTCTTATGTTGAATTTTTAACTAAGTCTCATTTACATACAACCGAGTGCATCAAATCTATAATTTTGACAATTTACAGTTACAATAACTAGTAACTTAGCCGATAACCTACGAACCTACCTATTTTTAAAAAAAATTAAGTTAATGGGGTAACTAGGATGAAGACCGTAGAAGCGAATGATGATAAGAATAATTTATTTTAACAATAATAGTTTGTAATCATGTTTATAATAGAAAATAATAGCCATGGTATCATATTAAAATATTACTTAGTAAGCACTCATATAATCATACTTGCGGGGAAATCACAATTTTTTAAAATATCTTATAAAAAAGCCACGGAATCTATATAATATTTTTTTATATCATAGATTCAGATCAATTAATTTAAACATAGAGGAATAAGATTTGTAAAAAAAATTACTACAAAATAATATAACCTTGACGAAAAATAAATGATTACTCTTAACAATAATTACAGGCAATATTTTCTCTAAAAATCTTTAAAAATATTTGCAAATAATAGATTTTTGTTTATGTTTTACGTTAATTTAACAGATAATGTGGCTGTAGCCAACAATTATAGTTATCTGTTAAATGTTAAATGTAAAAGTTAAAAGTTGAAATATTACAATTTCAACCTTATCCCTTATTGCATTGTAAGCATTGACAGCGAATTTAACAGTTAAAAAATTTTGATGCACACGGTCGTTAGTTTCTTAGTAGTAAACTTTTATTAAAAAAAAATATTATAAATAAATGTTTAATTATTATTGTTGGTCAAAATGTATTTCTTATATATGTTTAGGTATATGTATGTCACTCACCCTTATTTCACCAGATGGACTTTCCAAGCTCCTTGTATCAACGTCGCCGTGTAAAGGTGAATACAAATTGCCCGTTTTAGTTATAGGACACTGGAACAGGAACCTGATAATGTCGTATTGGCTCTGCCTCATTAGCTGCACCACCTCAGGCGGTAAGAAATTTCTATTCTTTTCCAGAAAACCGTCAGCTTGGTAAACGACGCGGCCAGCGAAGTGGTGGATAGCAAAACAAACTGCGTCAGATTTCGGTCGCACGTAGTATTTACTTTTTACATTGTTGTGGAATTTTTCTGTAAGTAATAATCATGATGTTAATTCCAATTCTTGTAAATTATTCCAACCAATCCGATATTTTGAAAACAGGAGAACTATTTCAATATATTGAAGGATTACATATTATGGTAACTAACTAGATATACCCATTCATTGTAGTATCTACGTAAACAATTAAGAATTGGCAAAGTTATCAGGTATTTTTAACTAGTCATAAATATTAAAATGCTTTACAAAGACGTGTTCGAAATCGATATTAAAAGATGTACAACAAAAATTTTGGAAATATGTCATTGAATTAAATCATGTAATACTCATTGGAAGTTACTGCTATTTTATTTGTATAATTTATTATATCTTTATATTATTAATGTGTTGCCGCGTTACAGTTATGCTTCAAGTTGGAAGTTGCCACAAATATAGAACGTTATTAGCCAGTAAATCACGCTAGCTACTTCACATACTTGTAATTTAGACTATCTTATTATATTATGTATAAATCTTACCTATGAGACTCCTATCCGTAGCCCGAGGGAAGCGACTTTCCTCATCAAGCAGCGCTAACAGACCGATGGGTCTTGATAACAACATATCCAGAACGGGTCTGTTGTCAGAGAACTCAACAAGATCTACTGGTACCCCTTCAGCCATGTACTCTTGTTGTTCCCAGGTGAATATATGCTGGTTGAAATAGTACTGGATCTGCTCATTGGCAATATTGATGCATAGTTGCTCGAAAGAGTTTTTAGCGAAGTTTTCGAACCCAAAGATATCGAGGATACCGATAGAGAGTTGTTCAGCACTGTAAATAGACGTACATACAGTTTATAGTCATGAATTGGTTCTTATACGATGTTGGCTTAATATGTTTTGCAATTTGCTAAATAAAAGTAAAACATTTATTCAAATATTAAAATTGATTATAAAAAATATAAAACAGGCTTCAGTGGAGCGACAGTTTTACACTTCTGTAGTGAATAAACAGTTCTGTAAATTCTGTTCTGTTCTGTATGTCAGCCATATTGCTCAGATACTGAATTTTATATAAAAAATGCCCGAGTAATAAATGTGTGAAAGCAAAAGTTTGGGATAAGAAAGTATTATAAAATCACATTTGAATAGAGCCCAAATAAATTAACAAGTACTAACTTTTTTCCAGGTATTAAGTATCTATCGATTTATATATGTATTATCTTATCACATCAAAGCGTTAATTGTTTAATGTGATTATTGGATAAAATTTTGCAATATTTAATAAGGTACTTTACAATAAATGATGACGACGAACAGTTTATTTCTGTGTTAGGATAATAAAGATAGTTTGAAAGTTTTTAGATAGTTGATTATCTACTACCTATAAAATAGTATAAGTAACACAAGGAATAACTAATAAATGGGATTAAAAAAAAATAATCAGATATTATGCCATGTGGTTCCGGCATAGAATAGACTACCCTTTCCTTTCCCGTGGGTGTGGTAAGAGGCGACTAAAGAAAGACGAGGGATGGGCAGCAGCGTCCCTCTTAAAACATCTTCAAAGCCTGACTGCGATTGCCAATTCGCCTGCCAAGCGTGGCAGTTACTGGCAAAACCCCACAAGGGGGCTTATGTTCAGCAGTGAACAATTAAGGGTTGATATTATGATGATAATGAATCAGACGATTTAGATTTCTCGTATCTCGAATAACGCAGTAGCAATACTTGTTGCTATTATAATTCCATATCACAGCATAAAAAGATAATACTTTTTATGATTATCTTATATATGTATGTTTTCCTTGTGTAATGACGTCAATATATATATTGACTGTATATAGATACATTATTTCATAATTATTAATTTGTAATATTTCTTACCCCTGTGGTCTATTCTTGCATAGTAGAGCGTTGATTCTCTCAACAATTCTGTCGAAAGCTCTAGCGTATAATCCTCTAGCGGTGGCGTCTCTTGCGACCGCGGCTTCAGTGGGTGAACTGTGTCGGGCTATTGTCTCCCCGCGGGCGACAACTGTACTGCTGGTCAGGCACTCACGGAGGTCTGCTGTCTCAACGCCTAAAAGGCATGAAGCTAAAAAAAAATCATGATTATTGAAAATTGCAAAAAGAAATATTATAAATAAAAAAAAAGTCTAATACAATATTGAATGTAGTTTATAATAATTACAATAGTTTTAATATGCAATAAGATGGATTTTATAAAAATCTATTTCCAAAATATTTAATTTTGTATCTACTTTAATTCAACATGGACAGTGAACAATATTTTCTTTAACATTTTAATACTTGATAAACTAATAGTTACCTCTATGTAATGGTGCCGTATCGATTATAGTAGCTTTGTTGTCAGTGTTATCTTCACCGGCTGCTTCGCCGAATTCTATGTCACCAAGATGTAAAATAGCTGATAGCATTTTGTATATAATTTGTACCTCCTCTTCTTGAAATCCGACAACCTGCAGCAAAACAGTTATATTTCTATTTAAATGTCTTTGGCAAATATAGTATATACCCATATTTTTGCTACTATATGGTAGTACCTTGGTAGTCATATCATATACACATTTAATTGTCTGTAGAGCGTTTTACAAAACTATGATTATTTGGTAGAGGATATTTATTCTTCTAAATTTCTTAGTATGTCTTAGATTATTGTGAAATATTTATATAAAAAGATAATTCCTTTCATTAATAAAACTAAATCTTGGAATCTGTACTGAGGAATTTGAATCAATGTAAAATTGTTACTCATTAGTAAGTATGCTAATAATACTATGAAGATATGGTAGAAATTCCATCAGATGGGGAATATATATTTTAAAGGAGATGTACAAAATATTCCAATCGATCGATGTGTAATAGAAAACAAAATAACTTGAACAAAATAAAAGGAAAATAAAAATTTACCTTAAATGCTTGGTTAAGCTGCCTCCAACGATGCACGTTGTGTTCTCGGTGTACTGAGGATAGTGGCTGCAGATACCGATGTCTGGATTTCAACTGTTCATCCAGATAAAACTTTCTCCAACGACCTTCGCTTTCCAGTCCATCATATAGATAGTAAAATACATGGAAGTTACTTTCTCCCCTGAATGAAAATATTTTTATATACTTTGTGAAGTAACAAATTATAGAAACACGTACGTCGTTACACTATTCAATATTTGTTTGTTTTTTTGTTTCTGCCAATCTACGGTTTTTTTTTATACAATAAACAACCAATAGACGCTTATTATTTTCCATTATATAAGAGGTCAGTTTGTTTCATGTTAGAGAAGAATATCATAGAACTTTGAAACTTTTATTTACATTTCAGATACGACAATTTATTTCAGGACGCCAATCATAACAAACCTTTCTAGATAAGTAGTAAAGAAATCTACCAACAGAAATATGAGTAGGTACAGCGTGCATGAGATATTACAAGACTGCAACATTATCTTTTTTTCTCATGCGTGCGTTAAAAGTAATGTATATACCAAGAGACTGTTAAGTGATTAGAGGAGCTGATCAAAACAATTTCTGAAAAGAATAAGCCACACGATGCTCTCCAAGACAATTTTAGTAAGTAAATTTCGTATACATATAAACAATAAAAATTCGATTAATTTGAATAAAAATGACTTACAGGGCCTGATGTATCACTCGAGATTGCTCCAAAAGGTAAACAGATATCCGTGCTCCGGATATCCTTCCCACCCTCATCATCGACAGATCCAAATATTTCCCGAATCGTGAACTGTTTGCATTAATTCCCGTGCGAGCGTTCCCGAACGACTCCATTATTGGGTTTACTTGCAATATTTTCTCCTCTAAGTACCGATTTTGAGTCTGTAACGAATACGGGTTGTAAATATAGAGAGTAATTTCTGTTTGTCTATTTGTTATATAGTTATGAACTTCTGATATAAACTTAGATTTTCTTTTAATATTAGGCAATAATTATGATTCTAATGCGACTATTAAAAATCTCATGACTAATGCCTAAATTAAAAATAGCTGTGAGCAAAAGGACTGTAATATGCTGATAATTAAGGAAAACATGGTTTAGTGGCACGGTTAATAATAACAATAATCTTTATTTGCTTAAACAAAATACAAATAAAAAGTGTTACATTGGTAAAAAATATTCGTGTTTAGCTAACAGTGTGATAAATAATAAATAGAAATATACGTACTAAAAAAAGCGAAAAGACTAAATCGCATAATTGTAAGCTTTTACTGAAAAGTAAAAAGGAAATAGGTTGTCTGTAAGAGCTTGCTTTTAGCGATAAGGCCGCCTTTTGTATATGCACATTCTGTATAAATACTCCTTGTATACATCTCTACTGTGCGCAATAAAGAGTTTATTATTATTATAAATCAAAATAGAAAAGTGTATCATGTAGTTTATACCTTCACACTAGTTAATCTAATAAACGTTGTTTTATCTCATACAATATCGGCAATAACCGGACCCATTTTTGCTTATCGAGGTAAAAACTATCCTATCTCTCAAGTTAAAGTAAACAATACATATTTAGAAAAAATATTAAAATATGAAGATATTGTTTCAATAATTACTAAGTAATTGGAAAAAATTCGAAGTGGGTAGAACATGAACCCGCCCCTCCTACGCTATGCCGGATTTTCATAATTTAATACTACTTCTACATCAGGTAGTACTGTACAACTGACTAATAAATATACAAAAAGATATATTAAAGTTGCCTACAGTTGACTTTAATATTTTTTTGGAGATTAGCGTAAACAAACATGGGATTTCTTATAATTATTATAATTAAGATTTAGTTCTTTTATTTGACTATTTAAAATATTGTATTATTAACACATATTCCTATATTTATATCTATTTACGATAAGCTATATTTGACGTGAGAATAGAAAATGCACTAATTTTTAAAATGGTTAATTATGCATAAGTATAGAGATTGAATTATTTTATTTAGAGTCCATTTGACAAAATGCTTTAATAGTAGGCATTAAGGTTTTAGAAAATAAAAGTAACCACACAATGACCTTAATATGACAAACTTTGCAAGTGTAGTTCTTCAATATTTTCACTTTATTTTATGATAGCTAGTTTTATTATTAGGCAAGTGGCTCAGGACTGTTCCTTATAGCAGTCTATGGGGAGACCTATATTCAGCATAAAGGTTATCTATGGACAGATAACGGCTGATTACACGGCATATACTATGGTGATGATGATAGTTTTGTTTTTATTATATTTATTTAATATTCCTCTTTTACATTTAATCCATTGCAGATATAACAAAGAATTTCATATACTAAAGTATATTTTTTATATTATACATACTGAAGTTTATATAATTGTAAAGTATAAATGATGAAACTTAAATATTTTATTCTAAATATTTAAGCATTATTAAATTACTAAAATTCTTTTAAATTGCTTCAATAAAAATCCTTAAGGCTATCTATCAGTTGTATAGAAATCATAGTACATGCTCTGCTTAATGTGGGACTAAATGGTATAGGTAATATGCTCAGTTGTATTTATTTGTTTATTTAAATCTATACTTATATAATTTTTTTGCCTGACTGACTATCAATATACAGCCAAAACTATTACATTTAGAAATCTGAAATTTGAAACATAGGTTTGTTTTATAACGTAAATAATAGCTGCATAAGAGGATTTTTTAAAATTTTCTGTTAAAGAGAAAACAGAATGTCAGACGTACAAAGCCGTGGGCAACACATAGTCTTTACATATAATAAATTCGTTAAGTTATAAATAAAATAATAACATCTATACCTTAGATAAAAATACAAGTTGTTTCAACAACAGGTTTGCAGACTCAGTCTTCCCAGCGCCACTTTCACCAGATATGACGATAGCCTGGTGTTGTTTTTGATGCATCAGGGCCTGGTGTGCTGCGTCAGCGACTGCGTAGATATGTGGCGGATTATCTGACCGACAGCGTCCTTGGTATATTTGTTGAGTCTGAAGATAAAATAATGTATGTTATTGGAAATGATAATTACAATACATAACTATATACACGATTATATTTTTATATTGTTAAAAACAGAAGAATTAAAATAATGTCTATTCAAATAGACTTGTTTATAACTCTTTTAAATCGTCAATTTCTATTGATATTTAATAAATTTATTCTCATATATGAATAATTATTATAAACATTGAAAAGATTTTGTGAAAAAATTATTACTCTTCCCAACATAACTAAAATCTTCATCTCTTAGTTCTCCGTGCCGTATAACACTATATATATGCTAAAATGTTTTAATCAAATTATTATCGGGGCAAAATATTTTTCAAGCGACTTCAAACAGAATACAGAATAATATATATGTGAATGTGTATAAGGGAAATATATTGTAAGATTAAAGATGCTAATTTTTGCAGAGCAAAATCTTGAATGCATCTGTTTAATTCAAGATTTTATATCTATAAAGCATTGATTTTGCATTTTAGAGAACAGACTAAAAGATAACAAATATTGTATAAGGCAATAAATACTTATTAATAAATTTAACATAAGTTATATTGTTTTTCTTTGAAGCATGAATCAACGAGCCATGTAAACATATTGTTTTTGCAGTGAACGACGATTATACCGGGAAATACTTAGTTTCGTGTTCCGTCATATAGATATATGTATGACACTACGACTTTCTCGACATAGCATCTATTGGTATTTACATAGAAATCAAATAAATAATTTACTAGCTTGCGGAGATAAATGCAAAACAATTACAACACAATACTATAAAGAATAACCATTGTAATAATCAATTAAATAAATAGACAACTAAAACGTGAAATATTATGATTGATAATAAATTATATACTATTATTGTTTACTTATGTAATATAGTATATTTGTTTATAGCAATGGAATAAATGCGTATTTAATTTTGTAAAGATACATGATTATTATGAAATGTCAATGTACATACTACACTAATAAGTTTCATATACGAGTACAGCTGCTAATTCTCAGTTACCTAACGACAGTATAAGGCAGTATTTATCAGTATAACCTAAACAAATAATTTAATAATCTACCTTTGTCGTATAAATTCCTATATCAGTAAAAGGGTTTACTGCGACCAGGATGTCTCCAATGTACGTGTAAATGTGATTTTGATTGTATCTCTTCTCCAACTGTTCCACAATAGCATCTTCAGTTAAGACTTCTAGTGTGGCTAAATCGTCGGTATACATCTTCTCGGGTTTAGCTTTTCGGTGCGATTTTAGTTTGCCTCTTTTTGTTGTCGCTTCTGGAGCACGACCGCTACGACCTTCGGCTCTTTGCCTTTTTATCTCAGCTTGGAGCTCTTTACGAATCTGATCATAAATAATAACATTATAACAATATCATCTAACAGCGTAATATAGTTATAATTTATCAATTCTAATCAAGATGGCATATTAACAAGTTAACACAAATAAAACAGGTGGAATAACAAACATGGCAGTCACAAAAACCAGACTGTTAAATTTTCCATTACAGATAAAAGTTCCATATATTGGAAAGTGGTCACTGGTTTCTATTGAATAATATCTGTAAACACCTAAAATTACTTACCACACTGGAAATTTTCGAGGTTTATAAATATGTTAACGATAAAATGAACTAAAGAAGAAAAAGTGAATATAATTACCTTGTCCTCAAAACTACTAACGGCCAGTAATAAAGGATGTTCTAAAAGTTCTCTCGCGAATGGCCTTTGGTTCATATCTTTAATTAAACAATCGGCAATGAAATCTGCAAGTTGAGCAGAGAACATTTCTGGGTGGGACAATGACGGTGGTGGATTCCTAGGTATTTGAAAAAGTGCTCTCATCGGATGCAATCCTGATAAAGGTGGCTCCCCTTCTGCTAATTCGATTGCTGTAATTCCAACAGACCACACGTCACATCTACAGTCATAGGACTGATCTAATTGCTGTTCACATGCTATAACCTGGAAATTAATAATTATATATTAGTCTTATAAATAGTACAATATAGTATATATTGTTAAATCATAAATTAGGTTTGTTCAGTTAGTACGACAAATCCAGCAATACATACATGACTATAATGAGATAAATTAAAACTTTGTTTCACAAAAAAGAAATTGCTATTTAACTAACAACGTCGTAATAGATTTCGAAAAGTAAATTATCAAAATATAGATATAGTATAACATACATAAAAAAAATACAGTAGTAATTGAGAACTTCCTTCTTTTTTGCAGGCCGAATAGTTCAGTCAGTTGGATTATAAAGTTTCAAACTAGTAGTCTTCTTGTCCTTTTTTCGAATGAATGACTCATAATATTGTTCTATATATTCAACATCAATATATATTCAATGATTGGAAATAATCATAAAAAAGAACATTCTTATGGATCTCAGTCGGCAGTAAAGTTACTTTATACTTTTGCAAGAATAAATAACAGGTAGTAAGGTAATAAGAATTTTTGAGATTTTAGTATAATAACATGAATGTGGTGTTGAATATATAGAATAATAATATGATAATACCAACAGATAAGACATATACCGAAATTATTTTTAACTATGCACTTACTTCCGGTGCCATCCAATACGGAGTCCCAACAGAGGTATTCCTTCTAGCCGCCGTCGCTGCCAGATGCGAGGAGACACCAAAATCAACCAATTTCACTTCACCATCTTCTGTTAGGAGTATATTGTGACCTTTTACATCACGATGCATGCATCGGTGCGCATGGAGATGTGTTAAAGCTCGTACAGTTCCACGCAATACGTATGCCAACTGTGGTTCGGTCAGATTACTTCCGCGGGCTCGCATTCCCGCACACAAGTCTGTCACTGAGCCACCAGTACAAAGCTGTAACATTGAAATTAGATTTTACATTCTAGTTGAGAGTTAAAAATTAACTAGCATCATTGACTGTTAAATTTCCAAAGTTAGCGAAGATGTTTAGGTAATTAATGGAATGTGAATGGAACAAGTTTGTATAGTAGTTCTATTGCACAGATTTGTATTCTAGTTGTTGGAGTCTCTTTCAATTTATACGAGTAACATATAAAAGCGTATGCAATTTTCATTACATAAGTTTATATGGAATCGTATTTTCGTTGATATAAAATGATCTGATATATATGGCAATTCTCTGAAGTATATAAATAAAACTTACCTCCATAACAAACCAGATTTGGTCATCGTCAGAACATGTACCACGTTTTAAAAATAATCCAAAGAACTCAGGTATGTTTGGATGACCTGATAAATCTCTGAAAACTAAAAACTCTTCTTCTATTTCCTCGATGTTTTCTGTAATGTTTTCCAACACCTGTAAACAAAACATGGCAATGTGCATGATAATTATAATAATTGACGTAATAGTTACATTACAAACATTGACACTCGACAGCGCAAAATGAGAGGCTAGTCGATTGTTTAGCTCGGCCTTGACATCAATACCAAGTTTTGAGATAGCATCTACACACTCAATTACAGACTATTCTAACAATACTGTCCATAAAAAGTCCGCCGGCTTTATTCTTTATCAATGAATATTCATAATATGGGTATACGTTATTTGTTCATACAATCCTTTTAGTAATAAATTTCGGTATGCTACCATTCTGCTTGTGAAATTATTCCTCAACGATGTATTCTGTCGCTTATTATCTGCTCGTTACAATTATTAAATATCCATAGTAGCAGTACATATCAAAATAATCAGATATAGAAAACAAAAGCGTAATTATAGATTACTTTTCCGTACCTACGGAACTCTATATTTGGAGTTAAACTTGACTGATTTATTATGATCATGAATAAATATTTAGAACATCCTTTGAGGATATCAGAGCAAACTAAGTTAATTTATTTGTAAAATTCCAAGTACCTATGTACCTAGTTCAAGCTTTATTTGTATTCTATATACACCCTCATCTCTTCTACTTCGCCCTATCATAATCTAATGTTCAAGTACCAAAATTTGGGTTTGCTGGAAAAAATCTCTATTGAAAATAAACACGCCTTTGTGCACTATTATGTTTGTTTTTACATTTCAATAACCTTTTGTGTACAATAAAGAATAAAATTTTAACCATATTCTTTACTTAAATATATGTATATAATGGGAATACTTAGGTATATGTATATAATAAGAATGTAGAAGATTCTGTTTAATGGTTAAAATCTATCACAGCTGATTTTCCAAAGTTTCAAATAACTCCTCAACGATATTGCATATTCAAAAATTTTCGCAAGAATAGTCTTTGTTATCTTTTATGTTCATCAAACTTATTTTATAGGATATTATTTTATATTCAAAATTAGATGAAGCGGTAATATTTTTCCAAATTTGCACAAAATATGTCGTGCTAAACGTTTCTTTACTCCGAAAAATACGAGTATTATGTTTTACAGAATCAACAATGTGCGGCCTTCATAGAGGTTTTACATTATTTTCGGCTAAATATACATAAAACAATAGACATTGTTTATATTGTTGACATTCCTTATTATAAAGTATATTATTATATTCAATATTATGTGTATAGAGTATGACTCTTACTTAATTAGAGGTCAACTAATGTTCTGTTCAGATAATAATGTTAATTAATAATAAATAGAATATATAATATAGAATAGTCTAAAACAGTAATAAAGTATAAAACATAATCTTTATAAATCTAATTATGTATTCGTATATTAGTTACATTAGAAGAAAAAAATATGATTTTTGATTGGGTACGTACCTTTACAGCAACTCTTCTGCCTGTTTTTTTATCCTTAGCGCAATAGACCTCTCCATAAGTGCCCTCTCCAATCAGCTCCTGCAACGTGAATCGCTCCTTAGGGTCGGCAGCTCGATCCAGCTCCACGTGCTGAGAGAGCCCACGATATGCCATGTCGCTGCGCATGGCTCCGGCTCACCCTTCACTTTATCCGCGCATCTGTGTACAAAAATATACTTATGTCAGAACTAAACGAATTTTTTTGTAGTTCTAGCTTTAATTAAGGAATTTATTTAAACTTTAATGCACAGCGCAATTGTATATACATCTAATTCTCTTTTTTTACTTCCATATTATCGTCCATTATCTATAAAGTACGATTTTTATATGTAACTTAAAATGACAAACGAGTTGAAGGCCTTCCTGATAGAAAGTGGTATCCATCGCCTATTAACTTTAACAGTACCATGAACATAACAATATACTGCTTCACCCATGATATCTCTCATGCGTTGTTATTCCTAAGGACTAAGGTGTTATGTCTTTGTACCCTGTAAATTCACTGCTATATTCCTCTCTTCAAACCGAAACACTGCCATGCAAACAACTGCTTCACGGTAGAAACACGAATGGGACAGAGGTACCTAAACAAACGTCTCTTGTACAAAGCCTCCCTCTGATAAAAAATGATTTTGCAAACATATTTTTTATAGCGTTTATATAAAAGCTTATAATAAACATTAATTTGCTATTTATTTAGATTAAAGTTTACTATACAAAGTGATGACAATGAAATGCAGTTACAGATACTAGCGGACTTATTTCTTAGAAGAATTTTTTCCAGTTAGAATGTAGAACATATGGGTAAGACTTCCTACAAGTTTAAGATAATATGTAATGTCATCTTGCATTTTGTACATATTTATTTACTTAGATAACACTAATGTATATCTACAACAAAAAAAGTAAAGGTACATTTATGCTGTACCAATATTTTAAACAATTTATAAGAGTCATGATACCACATTATTTTTATTACAGGCCATGTTTATTTTTTAATTGACCATTGATATCCGATAAAATAATGTGAAAGTTGGCTAAAGTTAGTTAAAGCTTAGAATTACTTGATCGTCCGCATAGATTAGAAAACTAAGAAAAAAAGTAACTATTTTTTTGATCTGATATCTCCATAATTAATTTTATCATAAATAATTTATTATGTACGAAAAATGTTTGGTTTTAACCTAATAGATTTTTAATATACGTAAATTAGCAATTTATATAAGTTTTAATTAGGAAAGTATGTTAATCAATAGAGATACGCGTTTTATTGCCGTTTAAGTGTTATATTATTGATGATTAATTATTTCTATTGAAAATAAATGGGATGCTCAGGAGTACGAGTACAATGTAATTATTATGAATATGTATTATACATTATAATGAATATAAGTATTCACAGAGCTTTAAAGGAACCGAGCGGAACCGATTTATATGGTAATGCAGGCGCATGCACTTCTCAATGCGGGAACTTCACAGTAGATAACGGGAACTGATCAGGATACAGTGACCATACATTGAATTTGTTTATGGATAGCTGATGTTAGTTATTGGTTTTGATATATATGGAACAACAATTAACAGGTTAAAAGAAATACCTTACTGTCGACAACAATTTTCTGCAAGGAATATAATATGATGCTATATATCCTCTCCCCTTTACGGGGGAGGGTTATATAATATTATCAAAAAAAAAATCAAATATATTGTATTAATAATAACAGTATAAATAATTTTGGTTGAATGGTAAATGTTGAAATAAAGTCTTTTTATTTTATTATTCACTGATTCATTCATAAAGAACATTATATATATTAAAAGATTGAATAAGTTTTTAATAATTCAATCTATTATATTCTGACAAATATGCTTGGGATGAAGATTCCTTAAAGTGGAATTTAGGGTATATAGATAAGGGTAATTTAAGTGTTTTTGAAAACTATGGTAGTGAAAATGTTTTTTTTTATACCACAAAAGTGGCAAATAAACATATATACATGGTGTAGTTCTACTAAATTTAAATTCTAATATATAGCATATTTTTTAAATAATATTGCTCGATTTCCTAAAACTTTTAGTAGAAAACTTGGATTGGATTGCGATAAAGGAGTGGATTATTAAATATATATACGAATATATATCTAATTTGCAATATAAACTAATAGTATCTCAAACGTTTTTTAATCCTTTAATGTTTATTTAATAATGGAAATATAATAATTATATTAACATTCCCCAAATTGCATAAATTATAATATTTGTATTATTAAATAGAGGTAAATTTAAAAATGAATATCTATGTTTCTTTTGACAATACACATGATACATGAATCGAAAAGAGGGATGGGAATGACCTACAGAATAATTTTTATCGACATTCTTTTATATTATTATTATTCTACCGTTCCCAGCTTAAATCGCTTCCTATCAGATATTGTAAAAATATTCGTCTGCTCTTTACCCTCTATTCTATGTATTTTATACGATCCAAACTCTTCTGAATACCTTAAGTCTAAATTTTAATTTCACGAAAACATCATTTACCATCGTCTTCAAATGAAGGTAGCTTTGAAAGCAGTCTATGCCACACCCGATCAGGCGATATCCAGACCAAATGAAGGCCTCTCCCTTACTCTCGATTGCCACTGCCCATCGGTGTGTTAAGTAAATCTTCTAGAAACTTCTGCTCCATGTTCTTATTTATTACATTGCTTTTTTCTCTAAATCTTTCGCCATTCAGGCTAACATTCATTACTTGCTGGTACTGTAAGCTATTTTTTTAACTTAGTGTAGTAATTATAAATGCTACAACTTTAAGTATAAATAAATAAACGTTATTTATTATTATTATTGTTTATTACGTTGCACTGTCAATTATAATTTGTAATTCCTGTCTACAGTACGATTTTAAGTCCGCCGTTTACACTTTCTAGGTGTATTAAAGTTTAATGAATAAATTAATTATTACAGCACATGGTTATGTTGCAGTTAAAGCTAACTTTAAAATAAACCATTGATTTAAATAATCATAGAAATTAGAAAATGAAAACTTACAGTTTATCTGTTTTCACTATGATAAGCGCAACAAATTTTTATTTTACGATTGGCTCGTTCCACTATTCACGTTTTTTGAAAGGAGATTTTCTATTCGCCTGTATTTTTTGTGTAAATGTCACGCTATATCTATGGCAATTTTGAACTGGTTTTGATAAATCTTTTTTAAATCGGTAGGGTTTACTTTCATGTTCGTCTCACATTAATTATTTCACGATTTTTTTTTGTGGAGTGTGTATGGAAGAGTTTTATGGTCAATATACCCTTCTTATCAACTTAAAATATTTTAAATTTATAAGTTGGTGAAGGTTTTTTGGCACATTTTATTAATTTTAAAATAAGTATAATGATGTTACTAGTACAGACAAGTAACACTATGTTTTTGAGAACAATGTAAATGTTGTTGTTAGAGATGCATATGCTATTACGATACTATCGTTATTACATATTTTTTTAATGTGTGGGGATGGAGTGCTAACTCGTCTGTTCTATCAGGATACGCTGGCGGGGCACCAATGAGGGATGATAGACGAGGATATAAGCAAGTGAATTAGCACAGCATAACGAATTTCACAAAAATTAACCGCAACAGTTTTCAGGGGGAACCGCGTGAAGGTCGATCTAATAGGGTATACTGCTAGCAATCAGGCTGTTAGACGCTATCACTAACGATCCTTTTCCTCTATATTACCTATTGTATAGTTTATATTTACACCAATTTTCGTAAATGTACCAATAAGAGTGTCACATAATTATCTTGGTTACATTGGTGGCGTAACGTCGGCTTTTATACGTAGGCAGGTACGTATTATTGACTTATTTTGCTCAAGTGCGCTGAATAATTGGTGTCAGCCTTGCTTACGCTGCTATGGTATGTTGTAACTGCTTGCTGAGATTTGTCAATATTTGCATTGTACAGTAGAGCACTGGGGCATCGATTACCTTTGCCGTGTTTAATGATTTTATGTGATGTAGTAATGTCACATACATAGAATAATGAAATGTGCGAAAAGAAGCATATAATGTACTTCTCAAGCGAATGACAAATAACGTTAATCTAATTTTTTCTGTAATAATTTATTCAAATATAAATATTTGTTGTAAAAATTACTTTTATTCTGAATGTTACGTTATTTAATAATTATTTAATACAGTAAATTGAACTTTTTAATTAACTAATATTATTCTCGTAAAGTGGATTTCTTTAATTTTTTTGTTTATAATAGATAAGGAAAAAATACAACAAATTTTAAATAAAATTTTATCTTTAAAAAAGATGCATTATCAGTGTGTAATAATGGCTGTATTTTATTTACAGAAAAAACAGAGGTCCTACCTATCTGCCCGTGTGAAATCGAGATGGACCACTAATAAGAAATAAGTTAAAGATATTAAATCCAGTCTCGTAGACAAAGACGAATTAATCGACCATTTCCATAGTAGTGAATACAAAGGTCACTTTCTCATATTTTGTCAAGTATATTAAGTGTTTTATTCGAAACTAAAATCCAATCTAGGACGCAAGTACCTATACAGCTATTTCTAGAAATAATTTTAAACGATTTGAACTCTCAACTATGCTACATTATTTTCACAAATATTGTATAAATAAGTATATATAAATTATTAGTATCTTAAAATGTTTAATATAAATAATTCTATAATTATGGGTATTCCATATTTTCTTATTTGTAAATAATTAGTAAAATAATATTGCATATATCATGAAGGCTTGATTGATGTGAGATGTGACCTAAGATTTTACTTCTAAGATAATCTCATATTCACGTGTAAGTTGTTACTATTATTATATTCTGTGTTGATACTCTCTAAATGTTTTCTCTAATAACAGACTGATTGTTACGCTTGGTAAATTACAAAAGAATCACACTTTTTATACTGAACAAGACTTAAAAACTAAGGCCATAACAATTGAGCCATTGAACTTAATCCATCAAAAACGTCACGCGTGATTAGCGAATACAATACAATGTAACAGAGTATTTATCTTTTTTATATAAGTAGTCAGAAGAAGTGTTAATTACTAATTCACTGTGATCGACGGACGGAAAGACCTCACTGAACACTTTCACTGTTTGTTTCTG